TTCAAGCAACTTAAAGAAGTCCAGACGCTTTTCTTTGCAAGCTCCTTTGACTACGATGACCTGGATGACTGAGAACCTTCACAGACACACTTAAATACAATTTACTCCAAATAAGCTATTTAAAAAAACAAAACAAAAAAAATACCCAAATTAAACTGGTTCTTCCAAGTCTAAAAAGTGAGGCTAGTCCAAGACTGTGGTAAAGCGACATTCTTTCTACAGCCAGCAGGGGGCGACTCATGGTTGGAAAAAGAAGTTCGGCTAAATATAATAGAGAACAACCTTTTTGCTTTTCTGATGACTAAGGTTTAAATTACTGATTCAAGGCCTTATTAAATGCAACATCATGATAATTTTGTAATTTATGATCCTCATTAGAGGCCACAAGCAAGATAAATGGTATTTCTTACTGTGATTGATGTCACAGTAGTTATGTCAATGTTTTGCATCCCTTCATTCATCCATTTTCTTCTGCTTATCCAGTTCAGTGTCACAGAGGCAGCGTACGCCCCGGACACATCGCCAGTCTGTCATAGGGTTAATGCACAGAGTCAGCCAACCATCTATGATCACATTCATACCTATAGCCAGTTAAGTCTATGATAAACAGTACGGTGTTCATCGTAGTCATGTTCACCATTTCAGTTTGTGTAGCGTACTGATATTTGCTCCTTAGACAACACTGTTGCTGATGGGAATACTTTTCATTTTAGCACGTGTTTGGTGATGAACCACCAGGGGTAAAAGGAAATTTCATGGCATTCAACAGTTTGAGTAAGAGCTTCTTTTTTTTTGTTGCATTGACACAATATTTTTAGTGTGATGGTTATTGGTGTATTTTAGGATCACATAAGTGTTTTCAGGGAAGCAGTTTGTGAGTTTCCCCAAACATTACCATGTACTTCTCCTCCATAGAAATGGATGCTTAGCTCCGTGTCTTAAATGTAATGCTGATACTGGAGGGGGTAAACTATCTGTGTAGCCTCAAATAGCTGCTAGTGTGGCTGAAGAGTCTTTGTCTTGTTCAACTATCCTTTTCACATCATGAAATGTCAATGAGTAACAGGCCAGAAGGCAAGAAAGCATTAATGGATGAGTCTGGCGATGCTTTATGATGATGATGGCCTCCATCATTTTCTCTCCCTCCCATCAACTACAATCTATCATCTGCACCAGGCTCCAGTAAAATATCAGGGACACTTGAGGTTTTCTTGGCCCAGAGCCTCTGACATGCTGGCTTAATTTTACCTTCCACTGCAGCGTGGCGCATTTACATAAAACACAGAGAGAAGTAGTACACATAATGGTCCCCTTTGGCCAAGCGCTTTAAGGTCCTGTCCACAGTCCCAGCGAGGGGCAGTCAAGCTGCCTCTGCTCTGCTCTGTTTGTTTTATGGAGCAGTAGTGAAACCACTTTGAGGTCAGCTAGCTGCAAAAACTGTGCTGGGTCTCCTATGGTCTGCTGAAAAAGGCTTCAAAGCCAATCCAGAGGGCCATTTGGAGAGGTCTAGCCAACTTCCATTGACAAAAAGAGGTCATTATTGTGCATACCACATTAGATCATTTCACTTATATCAAAGCTGCTGATCAGTTCTTCTTGCAAAGGAAGAGACAAACCACTAAAAAAAAGCCCAACGTGTTCCTGTTTGCAGGGAACTTCATTCACACATCCTGAATTAATTTGAGTGCTGTCATTATGCAAGTACGGCACAAATTGTCCAAGACCAAGTGAAACTATTTATAGCCGTCACTAGGCCTGTGAGCCAAGTGTGCCTAATGGTGTAATTTGTATTGTTAATGGTAATGCACTGTTAGTTTGTTCCATTTGGCTTTGCACAGGTGCATTAATGTGGGCCTGTTGAAGCGTTGCAGTCAGTCCAAGAACCCATGCTGCTATGTGCAGGTTTTCAGCAGCACCACGGCTCCCTCTTGTGGATCAGAGTGCTTAGAACACAGGCTGGCTTCAAGGTTAAGGAAGAGCAGGTTATTTTTGCTAAACAAAACAAATGAAGTGGTCTTATTGTGATGGGAAGACCTGCTTTAAACCAGAATGTCAACCACAAACAGCTACAAGAGCAGCATAGACTTTTGAAAAATCGTGTTCCTAATTAACCTTCAAGCTCATCAGGCACAATCAATATAGAGTGTAGCCTTTTTTCCTAATTGAGATGAAGTAATTATCAGACTGTATTCATCTCATTAATGAAACAATGTTCCAATATGCCTGCAGCAAAACTGTTAATTGAGTTCTATTTTCTGAGACAGGCAGCCTCTCCTTGTGTCCACGGCCACAAAGCATCAAATGTGGGTTGGGGCCTTTGTGCTCGTCTCTGTGCAGACACAGGAACAGGCTGTGGACTGGTGGAGCGTGGTAGTGCTCTCCCCCCACAGACACTTCCCCTCCCCACTGCCTATTCTCCCATCAGAGAGGAGGCAAGAGTTGGTAATACAGCTGACTTCAGCAGATCATCCCGTCCCAGTGTGTTATTTCACGGTTTCAGTGGTTAAGTGCTCCCTGTTGAGTAAGATATAGCGAGGCAATTATTCTGTAATTATGGAGCCAAAAGACGAGAAATAGAGTCAAGAGTTACTGGGCTCATGTAAATCACTGTAACGGATCTAAAAAGGGTGCAAAAACAGGCTGGATTGTCCACAAGTACAGTCCAGACCTTAAGTATGTGGACAATTACATTTTTCCTTCCTCCAAATCAAGTTGGAGTCAGGTGAAATGACAGAGTTCTCTACTAAAAATTTAGTAGCTAAGGATCCAGTTATTTCTGAACCTCTCTTGTATGGGTTTAACATGTTTAAAGCTCAAACGTATTTCTATCCAATATCCATACTATCCCTGATCCAATAGAATGAAGGTACATAAAGCATACAGAGTATTTGAAACTGTATGCTGATGGATTTTGCAAAACGTTTGGCTGCGAAACTCTCAAATATCTAATTTAACGCAAATTCCTATTAATGCGACTGTGAATGTCACTACACTCTACTCATCACCCAACCCACCCATTGCAGTTGATACCTGCTCCTCCCCGAGCCAGGTTCTCCTGGAGGTTTCTTCCTGTTAAAAAGAGGTTTTTTCTTTCCACTGTCGCCAAATTTGGCTCGTGGGGTCTCATCCATTCATTTGTCTGTAAAACTACACTGATACAGAATATCAGACTGAGGTGACTGTTGTCAGGTCACACTATATAAATAAAACTGAACTGATTCATTCACCTGCCGAGTATCCCCAGACAGTGATCCAGCTGTTAATGCAGTCAAATGGCTGCTCCAAGATGCCAGTTTCTAAATACGCAATTAGGGGGAAAAAAACATCGCTTCTACGCCAGAAGTGGAGAGTGGAAAGTTAGTATTATCCACTAATCCACAATAACCACATTACCAAAGAATACAATTGAACAACAATGGAAAAATCCTTTATATACACAAGTATTAAGTGAATTTAGGTGAACCTTGATTTTTTTTTCTTCTTTTTCTTGCTTACTGGCTGCAAACAATTTTAATCTCAACTGTTCTATGCCCCTGAATGCATGATCCTAAAATGAAACATATCATTTTCTGGACATAAATTTTAATAGATTTTAATTCTAAAACTATCTTAAACTCATGTAAATATCAATTTTAATGAAATAATCAATGTCTCCAGTATTAATACACAGAGTATTAATACACAGTCAACTTTCACAGTCTGCATTTTTGCGGCTTTCTTTCCTGGCATTTCATTAATACAGCAGCTCCTTTCTAGCTTTACCATCCAAAGTCCATAAACATTTACACAGGGCTTTTGCTGTTCAAGACACTCATACTGCTGATGTGTCTGCAGCAGCTGTGCCAGTTCCAACGTGTGTTATTTGTGTAATTTCTTCATGCTACTGTAATGTTATAGTTTTATCTTCCTTTGTAAAAATCCCTCGCTCTGATGTCAGTGGACTTGTCTACATCTCAGGCACACAGCCAACACTCCTTTCATATGAACGTGCTCATAGCTTGGATGGAGTTTATCAACACTTTTGTGTTACTGCTTATAGCTTGATTGCCACTGTTACAGTATGTGAAATATATCCTGGGTATGTCGAAGTCATTTCATACTACAGAACTCTGGTCTAAGTCTGCTCTGGTTTCAGGACTGCTGACTGGGACTGTATCATTTGGTTAAAGTTGCATAAAACAAGTAAATCACTTTTTAAAAGCCAACCAAACTTATTCACAAAATTCATCACACAAACTTGCAGTTATTTGTTTATATTCAGAGTGTGGAGAGTGGAAAACAGTAATCATAGAAGCAATGCGCCAAAATAAAAGGAAAGTGAATGTGGGATCAGAGGAAAAATAATATTAAAGAAATGTTCTGTACTTTAATATAAAGGCACTATCAGTTTCTTCTTGCTTGGAGTAATACTGTACTCAAACATTCCAGCTGTTAGTCATTAGTACCTTTCTCCTACTCCAGGTTGTCCTTTCAGACTAAAAAAACCCCAAAAGAACAGCAGCTGTCTTTTAAGAAAAAACATGCACATTAATATCTGTGATAAATCACTGAAATAATGTGTGACACATGTAAAAATTGAGACGATCTCAGTGGAATAAAAAATTACCAGTCACGCATCAAAGGATGCAATGATCCAATCTGTTTTCTTTTGCTACAATTTGGTCCAAAAACATGTTAACACAGCATGTAGGAATGTAGCCGCGACTATCTGCACTTTTTTAAACACTGTTTTGAAGCTGCTAAAGTAGTTGAGGTTTCCTGCTTTTATTTTGAAAGTCCACCCAAACATCAAACATGGTAAAAAACCCTTCTTGTCTTAAGGTTTGGGAAATTCTTTCTCACAGTATAGACTGACACCTTCGTTTTCTCAACAGCTGCACTAGCAATAAAAAAGTAGAAATTCCACCACAGTGTCTGAAAGGATTTCCCAACTAGACCCCAGTGAAACCAGCACTGCTTAATGTCTCGTACTTTCCCAGTGTACACGACTTGTCCCTGTAATGCTTTTCTGTTGAGACTTTTAGTTCACTTTGGGGTAGATCTTTTCATAGAAGAAGCTCTGTGCAAGGACAAAGAGTTCTCCGTCTTTTTCCCTGACGGCGTGGGCACGCACAAACTGAAACTGTTCAAGTGCAAACTCGTAAAATTCATTTTCAATTTTCCAGATGTTTGACTGCTGCAACTTGGCTATTGTCTCTTTGGTGGGGGGCTTCTTCTCTGTGGTCTTCCTAAGGTGCGATTTCTTTCCTGGAGGAACACAAGAAGGTTTAATGATTCCAGGTAACATGTTGTTACTGCTCTACTAAAAAAAGCATTCAGTCAGTTAAGTGTAAATTGAGACCAGGAAAAGGATTCGTCGTATAATGGTAACTCCAGTACTGACAGGGCTCGTTTTAAGGGCATCACAGCCACAAATAAGAAGTAACAGTATGAATTTGTGTTTTGTTGCTACCTGTTCTGTAGAGATCTGTGGCTCCCTTAAAGAAGCGTGGGAGTGCTGCCTCCAGGATCATGATGAAGTCCTCGAGTTCCTCCGTTACTCCCACTAACAGGTACTCGTTTACCAGGTTGTATTTGGCCTGTTCCAGAGCCCATCTACTGCCCGCGTTCCTGCACAAGAAACGGAGATCACAGTTTAATTTGGATTGCCTCATCTGAAGGCCAGGCTTTTCTTCTGTTACTTATCTACGTCTTTGACATCACTGCACAATACTCCCTAGTGATAGGTGGGTATTATGCAAAGACTGAGCAGCTTTCTTGAATTCTGCCGATCTTATTTTCATGCTAGCTCTCTTCCAGCAAACTCTAAATGTTCTCAGTGATGAGCAAAGCCGTTGTTGCATTTAAGGAGCACAATGTCCAGGAATGCTGATCATTAAAAGAAAATGACTACATGAAAGGAAAAATGTCAGACTGCATGCATTAGTAACAAGGTTACTGTGATCACACTCATTTACTGTTTAATTCCTAATAATGAAAATGAATGACTCAGTTTATTTATTATTTATTTGAAAATAATCAAAATAATCTCCAAAGGGAATTCAAAGTCATTTCCAAACTGCACACAAGTTTTTTTCTTCTTTTTATAACAGATGAGTAATTATGATTTAAGTCACATTTCTAATTTCACTGTACAAAAAGCTAAAAAAAAAAAATACATATTCCTATTGTTGAGGTGAAATTTTAGAATAATGCTGACAAAAAACAAAAATCTGTCTTTGGCTTTCAAAAGACATTTGAGGGTTACGAGGATGAATGACTGTTGTTTTTCTTCTTTTGGAGGATAGGGAGGCTTTAATGAGAAGATCCTAGGTTGGACATATATAAACACTGCTTCTGCCACAGGCTGTTCAGTCACTAATGAGTCTGAGTACACAGATTGTGGACTATATATCTATATATGTGCTGTTTACATCGTCTGTGTAATATGTGATTAGTGAGGAGAAAAAAAACCCAAACAGAACTATACCATATCCTCATCACTGTTTACAAACAACAGATGGAGCCTTTTCTTTCACTCAGCTTGGAGAAAGAATAAATTGTCACACTGAGACTAATTCAAAACAGTCATCTAACATTTTATAACAGACACTGACAGTGAATTACATTTTAGTAGATAGTTAATTACATTACATTCAATTAATCCTTACATTAAGATTCTATTAAGATGTAATGACACTCCTCCATGACTCACTACCTTCTTCGTGTTGGAGGGGTTTGTGTGTCCCAGGGGCTAGCTCTGGGTGAGGGAGCAGACAAATAGCGATTCAAAAACCCCTATGAGTGAAAGATCTAGGGAACAGCTCACGCTGCCTGGGATAGGGTTACCAGGGATGAGTATTTCAGTACCCCTTCAGCTTGCTGCCACTATGTTGGAGTTTTTCCCAGTGAACAATAGGGTTTGGTTCCCTGAGCCTATTTCCTGTCGTTTGCCCTTATGCGCCGAACGACAGTTTAGAGTACCGGACCTTCTTGGTATCTGTGGGTGGAGTGCTTGAGGGTGCTCCACCTGGAGGCTCTGTCGTCTCACTTGGGGACTTGAACGCTCATGTCAACAACGACAGTGAGCCCTGGAGGGGCGTGAAGGGAGGAACGGCCTCCCAGATCTGAACCCTAGCGTATCCATAAGTGCATGTGGCATCACGACACCCTAGGCCACAGGTTGATCATCGATTTTGTAAATGTATCATCAGATCTGCAGCAGTATGTTCTGGACACGGGTGAAGAGAGGTGCTGAACTGTCAACTGATCACCACCTGGTGGCAGCGGATGATACTGGACAGACCTGTGGGTCCCTAAAGGTATAGTGAAGGTGCGCAAAGAATGCCTGGTAGAGGCAATGCTGCAAGGCTGTCTTGGTTATCAATGCCTCTACAATGTTGTTGGAGGTTAGGGGCCGTACCTCTGGAATGGATCTTTAAGAAGAGGAAACTGGACAGTGTGCTCCAACTATAGAGGGATCACAGTCCTCAGCCTCCCCAGGAAAATCTATGCCAGGGTGCTGGAAAGGACAGTCCGTCCGTTAGCTGAACCTCGGATACAGGAGGAAATATGCGGTTTGCGTCCTTTTCACGGAACACTGGACCAGCTCTTTACCCTCTTGAGAATACTTGAGGGTACATAGGAGTTTGCACAACCAGTCTACATGTGTTTTGTGGACTCTGAAGAAGGAGTTTCACCGTGTCCCTGAGTCTTCTGTGGAAAGAGCCTCGGAAGTATAGGGCTTCTGGCCCGTTGCTACGAGCCATTTGATCCTTGCAAGAGCTTAGTCCGCATAGCCGGCAATAAGTTGGACTCGTTCCCAGGTGGGTGTTGGACTCCGCCTTTGTCACTGATGCTTTTCATAATTTTTAGGGGACAGAATTTCTAGGCGTAGCCAAGTGGTGGAAGGCTTTCACTTGGGCGATCTCAGAATCTCATCTCTGCTTTTCGCAGATGATGTGGTTCTGATGGCTTCGTCAGGTGGTGGCCTCCAGCTCGCACTGAAGCGGTTCGCAGCTCAGTGTGAAGCAGTGGGAATGAGCAACTTCAAGTCTGAAGCCATGGTCTTCTGAAGCTCACAATTGATGGGAGTGGGCGATCGACAGACGGATTGGGTTTGTCATGGTGAAGAGAGAGCTGAGTGTAAAGGCAAAGCTCTGTATTTACCGGCCGATCTACATTCCTACCCTCATCTACGGTCACGAGCTTTGGGTAGTGGCTGAAAGAATGAGATCATATATACAAGTGGCAGAAATTTGCTGACATGCTGGACATGCACCCTCTCTACATTTATTTGTATTTCCCATTTTGTCCCTTCGAAACGACTTCTGCTCTGCGCCACTGCTGCATCCTGTTGATGCTAAGCTAGCAGCCTAAACAGGAGTTGTAGCAGTTCAGAGAAAGAGAATGATCGGGCTGTCGGGTGCAGCCCACTCACCAGCACTCTGAATAGTGACCACAGAAGAAAGGGATCTGCAACCACAGTTTCTCCGGAGCACAGTCAGACCCACCTGATGACACACACTCATCAAAGGTCTGAAACACAATGCGAAACACTTGTCATTGTATTATCCAGACAAAAAACAGGTCATTCAAAAAAGATGCAAGCTGTAAAAGAAGCACCTTCTTGTCTCCTTGTTTCCTTCGTCGAAGGCCTGGTCTGTAGTCATCTCCAAAACGTAAAAAATAGTAGTACGATACAAGGCGCTCTATGGGATCACGCACGACATTGATGTACAGTGGTTTACCTTTCACGCCATATCTGAACAAAAAGAAAAGGGAGGGCACATTCTTTAAAATCGTTTGAGACTTAATTTATACTTCACTGCAGCAGCACATGAAGCTGTGCTGCTGAATTTTATTGCATTCAAAAAGCATATTCTCCCTAGTGAAAGCATGGAGCAGCATCAGGGAGTGAGAGTGCAAGTTAACCGAATCTCTCTCACTGAGAAACACTTAGACCATTAGAATAATTACCTGTGATCACAGAGATGATAGTGTCAGGGGAGATAAGGACAACAATGCCATTAATCAACACTAAAGCACATGTTAGCGATCAATACGTGACCTCCCTTTATCTGCTCTGCTGGCTGTTTGTAACTAATCTGGATATTAATGGTATTACAGGAAATGAAGGGCCTTACTTTGAGAAGTCCAGATAAGCTACATGGCCGTGGTAGAAGCCGGGCTTCATCTCTCTCCATGAGGTGACGTTCCTGACAAAGCGCACCTGGAGACAAAGATAATGGAAACTAATTACGGAGCCGCGGGGAAACGGAGCCACAACAGAAATGTTTGTGCTACATGTTGCTACAAACTTTACTCAGTTACAGCGCAGAGTTCAAATACAGCAAAAGTGTCAACCCTTCCCAATGAACAAATGAGCATTTGCATTCATATTTACAACTGGAACACATTTTGATAATGAATAATAAATACTAATAATTTTTAGTCATGTGACAGGGTGGAGCCCTGGAGGTCAAAACGCTGTTATAACATGCAGGTGAATCCCAAAGAAGTACATGCCTGTCACTTCTTCATCTGTTTTCAAGCACAAGCTCTGAACAAGCTGCAGATTTTGAGCACTTGAATTTCACGTACAGCTCCAGTCACTAAAACATCCTTGACCAGAGTCTTTCCTCTTACACTGCGCCACTGAATGTACAGAATATTTATCCATGCATGTTTTTGGTCTGGATGAGTCACAAAAGCTGCCGTTTAAGGAGAAGAAGTTCAAAGTAGAATGTCAAAGTAAAAACAAGCGTTAAGTAGCTAATGTCCATCCATTTTCTAAACCACTTATCCAATTTAGAGGGCTTGAGCCTAACCCAGCTGTCACAGAGGCAGGATACATACCGAACAGGTCGTCTGTCAGTCCACTGAACAGCTAACATAGAGAGACACAATCACACTCTGATCTAACATGTGTGTCTTCAGCTTGTGGGAGGAAATTGGAGTACAGAAATTCTTTATCATAAAGATACTACAGAAATGAAACATGAGTATTAATGGTGTAAACATCACATCATGTTAACATAATGATCTAAAACTCCGAGATTACTTAAAATGTGTTTATGTAAGCTTGAAAAGAAGTTCTTACTTAAATAAGGCACATAATCTGGTAACTTTAAAAAAAATTATTTCAATCAAATTCTGGCACCGACGTCTGTATAAAAGGTTCCTTAAGCTGTAACATTCTGTTCAAACAGCGTTCGGATTAAATAAAGATGATTAAATTGTGTGTCTACTAAAGGTTTCTAAGGAAACTGCACATGGAGCACTAAAACACTGGAAAGTGGATCAGGTGGAACCAAAGCACAATCAGAAGGAACATAAGTGATCATCAAAACCACCATCACTGAAATTACTTCATAGATAAAGAATTTTCTAAATAGAGAACAAAAGCCTCTAAATAGAAAGAATACTGTCAAAGAAAGGCCGTTTACATGCTGTGAGAGGACGAGCAGCATCTGTGAGCAAATGCTGAGGAGAGCAAACAAGGCCAAAAACTTGGGTTAAGAAAGACAGATTTAGATGTGAACAAAACTTTATTACAGAAAAGTGAAATGTAAGGACACATACAGAATTATACCACAGCATATCAAGCCCACAGGGAAACAGGGTGATGGGAATATTGAAATCTTCTGGAATAAAACTGGTTCTTGAATGCTGCAGTCAGGAAAACAAAACAGAAGCAAACAAGCACTAAGCTAATCTGAAGTTCAGGGACTTTTTGTGCCCAAGGCACAACACAAGACCTCATTCATATTTGCAATCATATCTGCTCGTATGAACAGTATTCAGTATACAACAGCCCACAGTTGGATTTATAAAACCAAGCATGACAGAAAGACTGCAAACATACTGGCGTCACAGACGGTGATGTGCTGAATCACAATATGTAAACACTCTTAGCATATAACGCATCACTTATAAATGTATTTCATCACAGACACCAAAACCAGCAGTGTTGATAAATATAAACCAAATCAAACCTAATAAAAACAGAGTCTAATATGTATGACACCATCTCCCTATCACATCCACCACCTTCAGAGCAGAGAGAAAGCAACTGGACTGCGGGTTGATATCAAGCTGGTGGCAGGGTTCAGGAAAGTCTGGTTTGCTTTATATATGATGCTTATTACCTTGAAAGACAAATTATCATAATGAATTTCAGAAAATTTGAGATTAAAGAGCACTGAAGAATGTTAGGGTCAGTTGGTTCCATCAATATTTAACTGTATAAATGACCAGGATGATGTTAGTTTTCTTTCAGATTCTGCAAACGTGGCCTCTCCACGAATACGCTGGATGTGCAGTGGCAGCTCTCACCTGCATATCATCACCACCTGCACATATCCACTGCCTGGTAATAGATGTTTTTATTATAATGCACCAACTCAAATAAAATACACTCACCAAATTGCGGTGACACACATCACTGCAGTAAGAAGAACCAATGATCACCAACCTAAATATGATCCATAGATATTCATGGGGTGCTTTGACCATATGTGGAATGAGGGTGGTAAACATAAAGAGGTTTAGATATGAGGCTGGTGTAGATATGTTCCCAGATGGACTATGATTTTACAAAGTGGAATATGTACCTTTTTAAAATCTGCCTTTTATTTGCTCAAACTATTTTTGTTTTTTCTGCTCACGCTTAATATGGAGCCCCATCCACTCTTTGATTAATGAGGCCCCTTGGACTTGCTTTAGGGTACACCACCAGTCTAAACCAGCGGTCCCCAACCCCCGGGCCACGGACCAGCACCGGGCCGTGAGAGTTGAGGCTCGGGTGTGAAATTTATGGTTTTCAGGGTTTTTATCGTTAACTCTGCTTCCCTGGGACTTTTCCCGTGTTGTACATCTGTCTTATTTTGAAAGAAGTATTTACGTGTTACCATAGCGACCAGAGAGCATTAAGGGGCAGAGAGGAGGATGTTAGTCGCATTTCAGGAGGACGCTGCTAATAAAGTTACACAATTACACTGTGAATTTGCGTTTATTATTATATTTACAAATACCACCGTTTTTGTCTTGGTCGTATCATTTTATTTTGTTGTATTTATCCGCGACACCTTAAAGGTCGGTCTGTGAAAATATTGTCTGACATTAAATCGGTCCGTGGCGCAAAAAAGATTGGTGACAACTGATCTAAACTATTAAATAAATAAATGCCTTAGACGTTATAAACTTTTGCTTCTAGTGTAAATTATGCCACTGATCAACAGCATTAAAACAAAACACATTACACAAATGGACAATATTATGGACAATTAATTATGACATTTGAAACACACACAGATTAATATCACCCTACACTATTAATAAATATCACAAAGTCAAACATACCTTGGCTAGACTGGATGTTTTAACTTGATACAAAAGTGTTCATATATAAAAAGGAATCTTGGCTGTGACGGGACTGCAGACTGTCGTTTACCCTCATACGTGTGCGTGTGTGTGTGTGTGTGTGTGTGTGTGTGTGTGTGTGTGTGTGTGTGTGTGTGTGTGTGTGTGTGAAGTGGGGGTGGTGAGCCTGTTGTGAGACGGCAGACAGGATATTACATTGGCAACTACAAATAACACCACTATAGCTTCAGGGCATTTACACTGTGTGAACTGAGCTG